CTGTTGTTGACTTAACAATTTGACACTCTTGTTTATGGCGTCAGTAATCTCCCTAGGCTCTAGTCATGAGTTGCCAAGGCTATGGAAGCCTTTTGAGTTCGCTGACTTCGATCTTATTCCAACAGGGTCATAGTCAATGTGGAAGTTCTCTCCTCCCTTCAGAGAAAGGTACCTCCTTTTTTGATGGCCCCATTCTTTCCACCGGGATCTCACTTGCAGAGATCCTCCATTTAGGTCTTCCTTTTTTTTTTTTTTTGTTTTCCAGGGTGTACAGACAAATATTTCTATTAAACACAAAAGTAATTAGGAATATAGGATGATTCCATTTTTAATAAAACTAAAAATACCCTTAAAGGATATTCATAGTTTTAATAGTTTCTAGTTTTAAAATTTACTAAAATAGCTCTCACCCTGACTGTTGATGAGCAGCTTAATATGTTATCCCTCTTAGTATCTTTTTTGTTTGTTCTACTTAATACTTTTGGTTGAATACTGTAATCAATACACAATTCTTCTTAAGTGCTGAAACTTAACTGAAAAGTGATCACTGTTAAATATAAGAGTGGGAATAAGAGAGGGAAGAGATGTGCAATTCGGGACATGCTCAAGCTGACTTACCTCAAACGGTAGAGTTAGAAACATACCAGGGGATTCCAATTCAATCCCATCGAGGTGGTATGTACCAATGCCATCTCACTAGTCCCAGTGATCAATTTATGTTCACAATTGATCATAATGATAGGACTAAGAACCAAAGGGATCACATAAACAAGAATAGTGTCTGCAAATACTAGCTGATAGAATAAAAAAGGGAGAGAATGATCCAACATGGGAAGTGAGATACACAGCAGACCCATAGAATGGCAGATGTCCTAACAGCACTCTGGCCTCATAATCAGCCCTTAAGGCACACGGATCTGGCTGAAATGCCCATGAGAGTATTTCAGGCATGGAAAGCCAAGACACTCTGGGGGGAAAAAAAAAACCTAAATGAAAGATCTCCGCGAGTGAGATCCCAGTGGAAAGAATGGGTCATCAAAGAAGGAGGTACCTTTCTCTGAGGGGAGGAGAGAACTTCCACTTTGACCATGGCCTTGTCTAAAAATGATCAGAGTCGGTGAACTCAGGGGGCTTCCATAGCCTTGGCAGCTCATGACAAGAGCCTAGGGTGATTACTGAGGCCATAAACAAGAGTGTCAATTTGTTAAGTCAACAACAGGAGTCACTGTGCACTTACTCCTCATGTAGGATCTTTGTCCTTAGTGTGCTGTACATTGAGATTTAATGCTATAACCAGTACTCAAATAGTATTTTTCACTTTATGTTTCTGTGTGGGAGCAAACTGTTGAAATCTTTACTTAATGTATGCTCAACTGATCTTCTGTATATAAAGAGAATCGAAAATGAATCTTGATGTGAATGGAAGGGGAGAGGGAGTGGATAAGGGGAGGGTTGCGGGTTGGAGGGACGTTATGGGGGGGAAGCCACTGTAATCCATATTCTGTACTTTGGAAATTTATATTCATTAAATAAAAGTTAAAAAAGAATTATAATTATCAACTACATTCTATATCATCTTTATATTAATATCACATTAACATGAGAATTGTGTTGTAATATCATGTATTTGTTGTAACCTTGAGAATCTTGTGAATAAATTATTTAAAAATAAAAAAAATTTCTAAAATATTTTAATTGATGTTTATATTATAAAAATAATTAAAACAAGGTTTGGTTTATCTGATAGACATACAATTTTCTTTTGAAAGTGCCACCCACCCAAGCAGATCACTATCACTGGTTTGTCCACATCTCTCAGCTTTGGTTTGTCTCATCATTTACCTCTGCCTCTATCTCTCCTTCATGTAGAAGTGTATGCATGTTTGCATTATGTGCCTGTAGTTAAAATAAGATCCTCACTGTGGACTGACCAGGAACTGTTTTTCCCATGGCACTGTCCTGGCCATCATTCCATGTGGGCACAGGTTGACCCAGCCCAATCACCTCAGCAGGTGCAAGGATGCCCTAGCACAGGTGGAACAGAATTGATTAATACATCCCCTCCACATGGAGGGAGTGAGGTTTCCTGTTCCTTGGAATTTCACTCAATCCTGTGATGAAAAATGAATCTGTGAAAGTCATGCCATTATTTCAGTGGAATAAATTCCTGGAATTGCTTCTCTGGGGACAGACGAACATGTAAAGAACTTGGGCAGGTGCTGCCAAAGCCCTCTTGCTCCCAGAGAGCAGCACCTGTGACACATCTGCCAGGGGACCTGCTAGAGCCTCTGCTTCCTACGTTCTCAGCATTGCTGATCATCAGCAGACACACAAACCTGCCAGGCCAATGGGGACAGAGGCTGTGGCACTGCACATCGCATTTCTGTGTGTCTGTGTCTGGGAGGTGCTGCGTGTCTAACCTCCGCAGGCCATGGAGATTGCCTCCTGGTTCAATGTGGTGCATTTATCCTTAGTCTTCAAAAACAGTTCATTCAGGGGCAGGGATCTGACATAGCTGTTAAGATGCTGCTTAAAGATTCAAGTGACCCCCAGAGGACTATGGGGAGCAATTCCTGGTTCCATCTCCTGACTCCTGCTTCCTGCTAATTTTGTAGCCTCAGAGGCAGTGGTGATGACACCAACAGTTGAGTCCCTGTCCCCCACAAAGGAGATCCAATTGTGGTTTTTGGCTCTTGACTTCATCTGTGCTCAGACCAGACCCAGGGGTCATTTGGGGAGAGAACTACTAGATGGGAGTGCTGAGTGCTCTGTCTCTTCTCTCCTCTGCCCCCCCATCTCTATGCCTATTAGATAAATATTTTAAAACTTGACAGAATTCATGATTCCTGAAAGTTCTAATTGTCCCTGGGATATGAAACATGAGTCTGGTCAGAGCCTGAATGTCATACTTTCTGGTTTGAGGATGGTCTCCCAGCTTTTGAGGGTTTTGTTGTTGTTGTTTTTTGGCTGTAGAAGCAGTTACCTAGTATGAGGTTTCTAGCTCTCATGTCATAGAAAAATAGTTCCTATTGTAAGATTATGAAAATATTTACTGTTGATGATTGACTTTTTTTATTTCTATTTTTGGACAGGCAGAGTGGACAGTGAGAGAGAGAGACAGAGAGAAAGGTCTTCCTTTTGCCGTTGGTTCACCCTCCAATGGCCGCCATGGCTGGCGCACTGCGCTGATCCGAAGGCAGGAGCCAGGTGCTTATCCTGGTCTCCCATGGGGTGCAGGGCCCAAGGACTTGGGCCATCCTCCACTGCACTCCCTGGCCACAGCAGAGAGCTGGCCTGGAAGAGGGGTAACCGGGACAGCATCCGGTGCCCCGACTGGGACTAGAACCCGGTGTGCGGGCGCCGCTAGGCGGAGGATTAGCCTAGTGAGCCGCGGCGCCAGCCTGATGATTGATTTTTAACATATAAACTTGGATATCTCTGGGGTTTTATTTTTAAATAATTTTGGTTAAAACAAAGAAATTTGGCCACTGTCACACTACAGGTTAAGCTGCTGCCTTAACCGGCAGCATTCCATTTGGGCTCTGATGTGAGTCCTGGCTGCTCCATTTCTGATCCAGCTTCATGCTAATACTCCAAGGAAAGCAGTGGAGGATGGCCCAAGTGTCTGGGCCCCTGGTCCCATGTGGGAGACCTGGAATAACTCCTGGCTCCTGGCTTGGCCTGTCCCAGCCCTGGCCATTGTGGCCATTTTGGTAGTGAGAGGATGGAGGTCCTCTTTCTCTCTCCCACCCTCCACGTCTCTCTCTCCATCCATCTCTCTCTCTCTGATCTCTGCCTTTCAAATAACTAAAAAAATTTCTTGATAAAGAAAATAAGATGTAAGAAGCACATTTCATGCTAAGTGTCAAGAAACAAGAAGCCAGTTGCTGTGTTAATGCATGCATATGTGATATCCATTGTAGGTACAGGCTTGAAGACAGAGAGTGAAGAGATTGCCAGGGATTAGCGCTGGATGGTTGGGGGCAATGACTTGGGGAGTACAGATGGATGAAAGGTTCCAGAGTGACACAGTGGTGATGGACACACAGCAATAGTTAAAGTGGTTGCCATGGAATACCTTAAAAAGTTAAAATAGTATATTTTATTAAAAGTGAATTTTATAGTATACAGAATAGTAATTTCTTATGCGGAGGTAAAGGAGAAAGATGAACATTACTACATATTGTGTAGTAAGGGATGGGGCTGTGAGCACTGGCCCAGGGACAGGTGCCAGCTGTGGAGCTACAAAGAGCTCAAGGTCTTGGGACTTGGCAACAGGTGTTTCCTGCCCAGAAGGTTGCAGTAGATCAGAGACTGCGGTGGGGTCTGGATCTGAACCTGCGGCATTCACTGGCTCTACAGGGGGAGCTGCTGGAGCTCCCTGGCACTCTGGAGCTAGTGCCACGGTGGGGTCTGGTGTGAGCTCCCTGGAGGTTTCCAGAGCTGGTATGCGAGCCTGTTCTGGCTGTGGGGCTCCATCTGGCAACAGAGATGGAGGTGGCACAAGATCTTGTTGTGGAATTGGAGCTTCTGCTGGACCTGGAATCACAGGAGGAGAACATATCAGCAGCAGGCCTGACTTTTCCTGTGCCTTCCAGAGACAAAACATTGTCTCCAACTCTCAGGGAAGCATTTGACCCAAATTCAGCTTCCTGAATGACTTTCAGGAAGTTGGGCCTGCCTCCATTTTAGTCATCAGGATCCCTTGTTGCTCCTAGACCCGCCCCTGGTTCTGGAAGCTTTTCTGAGTGTGACCCAAACTCTTCACCTCCCCGTGCACTCACATGCACTGATCCCCGTCCTGCTCACCCTCTAGTTCTGCCTCAGTGGGCTCCAGGTGCTGCAATCGTCCCAGGAGGAGTTGCACACGGTGCCCCAGCTCTGAGTCACGCAGGAGGAGCTGTGCGTAGTCCAGCAGCACGTGCAGACTGGTGTACTGCGGGGGATGATCGAAATCTTCCGGGTATTGCTCCAGCCAGGTGGCCAGGATGGACGAGATAGCAGAAGATGGTCCAAGTGCTTGGATCCCTGCCAACCACATGGGAGTCCCAGATGAGGGCCCTGGCTCCTGCCTTCAGCCTGGCCCAGAGCTGGCTGTTGCAGCCCTTTGTGGAGTAAACCAGTGGATACAAGATCTCTAGCTCCCCTTCTCTCTCTGCTGTGCAAACAAACAAATCATTACAAGCATATTTCTGTTCCACACACAAGTTGATGACGGGTACTAATGTCAAGGCTTAAAGAAGAAGACAAGACACTGGAAGGTCCGGGAGGACAATATCTGATTTGATCAAATCTAGCCACTAATGACACAGACAGAGAAATGATGCAAAGGAAGGAAGGTGGATAATGCCAAGCTCACGTAACAGGAATCAGGTCTGCTTTTCAGTTGTCCAGGCTACTTTGAAGTTATCAGACAAAAAGTGGATTGGTGAACCATGTGCACATCCCACGAATGAGTCAAAGACCCTGTATCCCATGTGACCTGACACCCTCTTCTGTATTTAGCTCTAATTTTGCATTAGATATATAGGACACCAGCCATAGGCTCACTCAGTATTGTCCCTTGTATACCTGATGACACCCCTAGAGTAGATCTAGAATGATGTCCCAAGAGGCACAGTAACTGATTCAGGGTACCACCCTGGTCAAAGTCAGGAATTGGAAATAAGGTTCCATGTGTCTGTCACTGTGGTAGCAGCCAGGAAGACCATAGGCCCTGCAGGGAGGGTTCATTGGTGTCATTGTGTAGAGAAACAGAGACAGCATGGGACAGAAGGGTGGGAATACATTCACTCGCAGGGTGATTTGAGGACTTTGGATGAGAGAAGAGGGGTGAGATAAGGAAGCCCCAACCGTAACCTCGCCACTTAGTGACAGGCCACAACAGATCCTGTAACCCCGGTAACCAGGCATGAACATTCTAGAGAGATGCCCCTGCGCAGCTCATTTGGTGAGAGACGCTTGACAGAACAAGATGTTCTCTTGCTGTGTTCCCACTTCTAGAGGCCATGGCCCGAGAAACCCGCGTGATGAGGGGTTGTGGCAGCAATTTCGACATTGGTTCTCCCCTCACCCCCATCACCCCCAGCCATGTAGCACATGGCAACCACAGGTAACTCAGGACCACCCAGGACAGTGCTGTTCAGGCCAGGACTTCATGGTGAAAGCACCTGGGCTGCCCCAAAACACCTTTATTGGGGAGGGGGAATAGTATGTGAGGGGAGGGCCTATCATGGGCAGGTGGTGATCAGGCTGGGAGGCCTTAACCTGGTGGTCCTGTCACCTTCACACCTCAGGTGATGGCTGGCAGGGTGGAAAGGAATTATCCGGGCACTCACAACTGCCCAGATATGATTTCACATCCTGCATGCCAGCAGGCCCCATCCTCTAGGGGGTTTAATAAATGGAATGGTCCATGTGGTCAGGAGAAGAGGAGGTCCCGAGGGGCAGAAACAGAGGGAAAGGGACCAGGCAGGGCCCTGATGCTTGCTCTGCACCTGCCGGGCACTGTCTTTCCAGAGCTCCAAGCACAACAGAGGTCAGAAGTTGCTGAACAAGGTCCTGTACTCCATCTCCTGCATGGAGAAACAGGAGGCCAACAGAGGCCGCTGTTGGCCCAGGGTGAGTAGGAATGCAGAGGGAGTTCCACATCCTGGCCCCGATGCCACCCCACGTGCCTGCTTCTCAGGGCTTTTAGATGGTTTGGGATGGGGTCAGCATAGTGCCATCAGTGCGATGCAGGACAAGAATCAATGATGGCTTTGGCATTGGTCTGAACTCCAGCTCCTGCACTTCTGGTGGCTCCTGGAGATTGCACTGACTGTGTGTCTCTCCTTTCTCCTAACCTAGGTGAAAAAGCCATCTAAACTGATCAAGTATGATGCCCTTGTTGGGTGGAGGGCCCAGGGGGACACGCTGCAGAAGCTGGTGGACCGGCTGGTGCCTGCCTTCCTGGGCTTTGAGCCCTTGTATGTTCCTGCCTTCCTGAGAAGCTACAGAGCTTTTGCCACCACCGGGCAGGTGCTGAACGCACTGTTAGGAAGGTCAGTCTCCCAAATCTCCAGGCCACCCCTAGCTGTGAGTCTTGGCAAGGTCACCCCACCTTCTTCCCATTATTTTCCCCTCCTTGAAAGGAAGTTCTTGCTTTAGCCCTTTATGATTCTCTGAAATTGAGTTGAACGGTTGAATGCATTTTTTTCACTTATTCCTTTGAGAGAGGGACAGGGAGTAAAAATTCTTCCACCTGCTGTTCCACTACAGAATTTCCCTGAAGAGATGAGCTAGGAGAGACTATATTCAAAAACCAAGAATTCAATACAGACGTCCTACATGGGTGATAGGGACCCCAGGACTGAGTCATAACCTGTCCCCATGGTGCACATTCACAGGGCCCTGGATTAAAATTGGAATGAAGACTCCAACCCAGCAGCTTGGATATGGGAAGGGGGCATTTCACGTGACATAACACTGTGCCAAATGCCCATGCAATGTTAAGCTGTTTCTGTATTTGCTGAACAGGGTCCAGATTCCATCCAGGTGTTTTTGGGTTGAACCAGACCAAGGATGTGTGATGAGGGCAGGAGGACTGCAGACCTATTCAGCTTCCTTTGGAACAAGCTGGTTGGAGTTTACTCCTGCTAGGGTGGCCATGAAGTCACACGATCAGCAGGACTTTTCTAGGCAGTGCCCTTGATGCACAGCACAGGACAGGCCCCCGTCCCTGCTGGACTTCCCTTCTTGGTGGACCCAGAAACGCTCACTGGACAGGGGCTGCCCACCATGGGGCAGATGTGATACCCTCCTTGCCTCCTCTAGGTTCCCATGGTTCCCTCCTACTGATGAAGGTGTACTCCAGGACGCAGTCAAACAGTGAGTGGGTGTGGTGGAGGTGGAGGGACCCAGTTTTTGATGACATTGGGCTGGAAGCATGGTGTCTGTGGGTTGCATGCAGCTGGTAGGTGCCTTCAGTCTAAACATGCTGTGATGCTCTTACAGAGCTGAGGTCTAGGCAGTGCCCTGTAGGAATTAAGCATTCAGAGAGCTGGGACTGGGCCACAGGCACTGTGGGACATGGAGGGGTAGCGGGAGGAGAAGATAAAGAAAGCCCTGAGGGAATTCAGCACCACCACCTCTCATGCAAACCTGCTTTCACCATCAGTCCATCTTGGGACCCAGAGTTGGAGTGGGGGCATCCTGCTCACAAATATGGCTGCAGCTCCACAGTGAGGCATGATGGGTGCTCAGAGGTTGCAGCCAGTGCCCAGGGCTCAGGCACCTCAGGAGATGAGCAGCACTGGGAAGAGCAGACCCATTTACTGTGCTGTCAGCACTAACATTTGAGGATAGTAGCACAGGCCTCAGGAGCCTGGGACAGAGGTTGCCCTCCTTGCTTCCTCCTGCTTCAGTTACTTAGGTAGCACCTACTGAGTGCCAGAGAGTGAGTGAACCAAGCAGATAACCTCTGAGTCTGCATTTGTGGAGCTGGCATTCTAGGGAGGACAAGACACAGACAACAGCATGCATCACGTTTCACTGTAAAGGGAAATGTGGTGACACCAAGGTCAAAGGCCCCCTCTCATAGGGTCATTTGTCAGTCCCCCTTCAGGGACCAGGGCTCTATCCTGGCTGTTTACCAGTGGCATGAGCTGGGTCAGAGCTATGGGAGGCACTGGAGGTTGCCTGTATATTGGGAAAATGGTGCAGCCTGAAGGGCCAGGCCTCTCACTGGACTGCCCATCTGCCTTCCCCAGTGCTATCTCATCCATCCTGGCCACCTGGCTGGAGCAATACCCGGAAGATTTCAATCATCCCCCGCAGTACACCAGTCTGCACGTGCTGCTGGACTACGCACAGCTCCTCCTGCGTGACTCAGAGCTGGGGCACCGTGTGCAACTCCTCCTGGGACGATTGCAGCACCCGGAGCCCACTGAGGCAGAACTAGAGGGTGAGCAGGATGGGGATGAGTGCATGTGAGTGCACGGGGAGGTGAAGAGTTTGGGTCACACTCAGAAAAGCTTCCAGAACCAGGGGCGGGTCTAGGAGCAACAAGGGATCAACTTCCTGAGTCATTCAGGAAGCAGAATTTGGGTCAATGGTTTCCCTGAGAGTCGGAGACAAGGTTTTGTCTCTGGAAGGCCAGGAAAAGTCAGGCATGCTGCTGATATGTTCTCCTCCTGTGATTCCAGGACCAGCGGAAGCTCCAATTCCACAACAAGAGCTTGTGCCACCTCCATCTCTGTTGCCAGATGGAGTTCCACAGGCAGAAGAGGCTCGCATACCAGCTCTGGAAACCTCCAGGGAGCTCACACCAGACCCCACTCTGGCAGCAGCTCCCACTGCAGAGCCAGTGAATATCACAGATTCAGATCTAGACCCCACCGCAGACTCTGATCTACTGCAACCTTCTGGGCAGGAAATGCCTGTTGCTGAGTCCCAAGAGCTTGAGCTCTTTGTAGCTCCACAGCTGGCACCTGTCCCTGGGCCAGCGCTCACAGCCCCCTCCCTTACTACACAATATGTAGTAATGTTCATCTTTCTCCTTTACCTCCGCGTAAGAAATTACTATTCTGTATACTATAAAATTCACTTTCAATAAAATTTCCTATTTTAACTTTTTAAGGTATTCTATGGCAACCACTTTAATTAATGCTGTGTGTCCATCACCACTGTGTCACTCTGGAACCTTTCATCCATCTGTACTCCCCAAGTCATTGCCCTCAACCATCCATCCCTAGTCCCTGGCAAACTCTTCACTGTCTTCACGCCTGTAACTACAATGGATGTCACGTATCCATGTACTAACACAGTAAATGGCTTGTCGTTTCTTGCCACTGCATATAAAACCTGTTGGTTACATTCTTTTATTTTCTTTAAAGACTTACTTATTCTTATTTGAAAAGCAGAAAAAGAGATAGAGTGAGAGAGTGAGAGAGAGAGAAAGAGAGGGAGAATGTCCTCCATCGTCTGGCTCTTTTCCCAAAAGGCAGCGATGGCCAGGGAAGGGCCAGGCCAAAGCCAGGAGCTTTTTCCAGGTTTCCCATGTGGACACAGGGTCCCAGCTTCTTGGGCCATCCTCTACTGCTTTCTCAGGTGCATTAGCAGGAGCTGCATCAGACATGGAACAGCCGGAACTCAAACTGGCACCCATATGGGATGCTGGATTTGCAGGCAGCAGATTAACCAGTTAACACTACAACACTGGCTCATATGTTTTTGTTTTAACAAAAACAATTTAAAAAGAATATCCTGGAGAAATCAAAGTTTATATGTTAAAAATAAATCATCAATAATAAATATTTTCACAATCTTAGAATAGGAAATATTTTCCTATGACATGAGAGCTAGATAAGAAGCAAGTGCTTTTGTAGCCAAAAGAAAAACAGAAAACATTAAAAGCTGGGGGACCATCCTCAAACCAGAAAGTGTTCCATTCAGGCCATGTCCAGAATCATGGTTCATATCCTAGGGACACTTAGAACTTTCTGGAATCAAGTGTTTCTATTTTTAAAATATTGATTTGAGAGGCAGGATGAAGGGGGCAGGGGCAGAGGAGAGAAAACAGGGAGCACTCAGCACTCCAGTCTGCTGGTGGGACCTTTCAAAATATTTTCTATAACCTTGAATTGTTCTCTCAGTATATACAAAAATAATCACATTTTGTGGTTATAAAAAGAAGAATGCATTGTATTAGCAACTATCCACACAATTCACCTATTATGAAATTCTTTAATTCTTTTTTTTTCCAATTCTTCTTTTTTTTTTTTTTTGACAGGCAGAGTGGATAGTGAGACTATTACGAAATTCAAGTTGATTAGCTAGTCTGAATTTTATAGCATTTCTGACAAAGAGAGAACTAATAACTATTTAATAGAGTAAAACAAGCAGTCCAGATTAACTGCAAAATGAAATAAAGGATGATGATGTGGTCCCTTCACCCGCAAGTGTTGCCCACTCTGTGAGGTTCTCCTCCTTCCCAGCCTCACGCTGAGATTCAGGTCTGTGTGTCTTACCTGGATGGGGACACACCCAGGCCATGTGTTCTTCTGTCATCTCCTGTCAGCTTGGGGTGAAAACAGTTGGTTTCCTGTCCCTTGTGCACCTTCATCGGCCACACAACTCACTCAGCAGACCCTGCTGTGCAATCCTGGACTCTGTCAGGGTTGGCACTGTGGTGCAGTGGGTTAACACCCTTGCCTGAGCGCCGGCATCCTCTATGGGTGCCCGTTGGAGACCCAGTTCTCCACTTCTAATCCAGCTCTCTGCTGTGGCCTGGGAAAGCAGTAGAAGATGGCCCAAATTCTTGGGCCCCTGCACCTGCATGGGAGACAAGGAAGAAGCTCCTGGATCCTGGCTTCGGATCAGTGCAGCTCCAGCCATTGCAGCCAGTTGGAGAGTGAACCATCGGATGGAAGACCTCTCCTTCTCTGCTTCTCCTCTCTCTGTGTAACTCTTTAAAATAAATAAATTAAAAAAAAAACATACTGGGCTCTGTCAATTTTCCATTCCCAGATTATGCTGAAGGGCACTCATGCCTTTGTGAATATCTACTTTTTAGTATGGATGCCTGGAAGTCAAACTTCAAATTGCACACATTTCCAAAGTGCTGCCTTCAGGTTGAGTCTCTTCCTCCACTTGAGGCCTGTTGGGGAAGTAGGAGCTGCAGGGACACTGAGAGGAACCCCTGAGAGTTAGAGGGAGGTGGACAAGCCAGCAGTGGCAGCTCCCACAATGCCTGGGAAGGAACCATGGGACAGGGGAAGGCCCCACTCAGCCCCTAATGCGTCCTGACAGAGCTCTCAGAACACCATCTGGACACTGTGCCCAGGAAGCAGGAGGGCAGCCTGATTTCTCTCCCTGCTAGCAAGGACCTCCTTCTTGTCATGCAGGAAACTGCTCTAGGGGGAAGTCAGCAAATTATGGTGAACACTTTAATGTGTAGGCACCAGGTCACCTTCTCAGCTGCAATGGCAAGGACCCACTTGAACTTGTGTGAGCAGAGGACTTCTTTCCAAAGCATACTAGGTAGGTGCTCAGGGAAACCAATGGGCAGGTCACAGTCAAACAGAGGCTTACAGCTGAGAACAGCCCTGAATTACCACCAGGCCCTTCCCGTATTGACCTTTGTACCTACTTGTGGGCCAGCCACTGACCCTGGTATCCCTCATGCTCAACTTCTGTGTGGGAGTGGCTCTGCCCCTCCCAAGACTCCAAATTAGGAGGAGGGAAGACAGCCCTTATCTCCCCCACGTGGAGGTCAGAGGAGTCCACTGGTGTGGGACAGCCAAGATCAGCACATCCTCTCTCTGGGAGAGAGGGTGCCAGCACTGGTGTCACTGTGTAGTGATACCAAGATAACACAGGATAGGAGAGTGGGAGAGTGGGAAGACACTATCCAAGAAAGGTATTTGGAAATGTAAGGATTGCTTATTTGTAGAACGCTGAGGTAAGAGGATCCCAAGTGTAACTCAGCTCCTTATAACTAAAGTATCTGGCTAACTAATTTTTTCAATGCCCTAAATAGACTATTTGGTAATTTTAGATCCTGCTCAAACCAGAAACCCCAAAAGTGCTCCTGCAAGTAACTTAGTGCTCCCATGGACAAAAGGAAAACAAGAAAAACATTAAAGCTGGGATGACAATCCTCAATCTAGAAAGTGTTCCTTACAGGTTATGATCAGACCAACACTTAACATCCCTGCAGCTCTCAGAACTCTCATGAATCAATTATTTTTTTAATTTTATTGAAATCCTATTCAAAAATTATCTATATGAAAGGCAGAGTGACAGAAAGAGGGAGAGATGGGAAGACAGAGAGAGATGGAGAGTTCCTCCATCTGCTGACTCACTATCCAAATGGCTCCACTGGGACTGTACCAGGACAAAGGAAACCAGAACTTTATCCAGATCTCCCATGTGGGAGTCAGAGATCCACACTTGGGCCATTTTCATCTGCCTTGGTGAGTGCATTATCAGGGAACTGGATCTGAAGCAGAGCAGTTGGGACTCAAACCATGACTCTGATATGGAATGCCAATGTTTCAATTGGTAGCTTAACCAACTGCGCTGCAACCATGACCCTGTATTCTTGTACTTTTAAAACATTTCTTGGGGTTGGTGCCATGGCATAGTGGGTAAAGCCACTGCCTTCAGTGCCAGCATCCCATGTGGGCACCGGGTTGAGAACCGGCTGCTCCAATTCCATTGCAGCTCTCTGCTATGGCCTGGGAAAGCAGTACAAGATGGCTCAGGTCCTTGGGCCCCTGTACCCACGTGGGAGACCCAGAAGAAGCTCCTGGCTCCTGGCTCCCGATTGGTGCAGCTCCAGTCATTGCAGACAGGTACGGAGTGAACCAGTGGACGGAAGACCTCTCTTGCTTTCTCTCTCTCTCTCTTCCTCTCTGTGTAACTCTGACACTCGAATAAATAAATAATCATTTTTTAAAGAAGAATTATTTTATTTCTTTGAAAGGCAGAGTTATAGAGAAAGGTAGAGCCCAAGAGAGAAAGAAAGAGAGAGAGAGAGAGAGAGAGAGAGAGAGAGAGAGAGAGAATCTTCCATTCTGCTGGTTCATTCCCCAAAAGACAACAACAGCCAGAGCTTAGCTAATCCGAAGCCAGGAGCCAGGAGCTTCCACCAGGTCTCCCATGCCAGGGCAGGAGCCTAAAGACTTAAGCCATTTTCTACTGCTTTCCCAGGCCATAGCAGAGAGCTGGATTTGAAGAGGAGCAGCCAGGACTAGAACTGGTGCCCATATGAGATGCTGGTGCTGCAAGCTGGGGCTTTAACCTACTTTACCACAGTGCTGGCCCCAAGAAATAAATCTTAAAAAAATTTCTTTGAGAGGTATGGAGTTTTACAAATTGGAAAGAAACATATATAGAGAGTGAGAGCAAGAACGCTGCCATCTGCTGGTTATTTCCCCAAATGCCCCAGAGGGACAGAAGTGGACCCCTGTGAAGAAGAGAGCTGAGAACTCAATCCAGGCCTCCCATGAGTGTGTCAGGAACCCAACCCGGTACTTGAACCATCACTGATGCCTTCAAGGTTCAAAAATTATCAGATATTAGAGTTGGAGCCACAGCCAGGAAGTAAACTCACATATTCTAATGTGGGATTCAAGTATATTAAACAGTATTTTAACCCCTAGGTTACAAGCCTGTCTTTGAATCGGCTTCTTCAGAGAGACCAGGTTTAACCCCATGCAATGTAAATGGGAAGCAAACCATAGGGTTGTTAAATGTCAGACCTGCTCTGCCTCCCTGCACCAAAAGGAAAAGTGCTGAAAACAATTGTTCCATTGTGGATACTCATGGCTTATATCCAAATTCCTAAATGCAGCTGAAACGAGGCCAGTCCTCAGCTCATAAATCAGTCATTAAAACTGATCACTAAATCTATTGGGGTACTTCTATCCAAACCACAATGCTATAGAAACAGGAGAAAAGATGTTTAAGACTAAAATAAAATGCTTTAAAAACAGTGCTCCCAGTCCTAGCTTATACTGTCAAATTCTTTGAACACAGCAGGGCATTATAAAGGGGAAAGAACAGCATTCCTACAAATTCCCTTCTTTTTAAATACATTTATATATATATATATATATACACACACACACACATCTAAAATATATATATCAAGGATGACTTTAATCTTCATTCATATACTGGATGTTAACTAAATGCTGTACTCTTTGGGGGGATACTATGAATTCTTCTTTAAAAAATCAGTTTAACAATTGAATAAGCCATAGGAGAAAATGTGTATTTGTAGAATGGGTCATTCTCTATGGACACCAAAATGAAGACGACCTCTACCAAGGACAACAAGGCAATCCCATAATCAAAGTTGTAAGGTCTAACCAGAGCTACTGCTCTGAAAGCTCACGGACACCCTTGCTGTTATTTGATACACATTAGCAACAGATTTGGGTGTCTAAGACACGGCCATATCCATGGGCCACTTACTAGCTGAATCCCTCATGCCAGTTACTTCACTTTTCTGAGCCTTGGTTTGCTCACCTGGGAAATGATGATAAACAGCTGTACGCTAAGACTCCTGCAAGGATTAGAAATAATTGTGGCCTGTGCCAACACAGAGCCTGGCATTTAGTAGATGTGTGACAAATGTAGCTGAAATCATAATCCTAGCATTTACAAGCCTATAACAAATTGAGGAGAAAACTCAAATCTCAAGGTTCGGGAAGGGGAACTCCACATAGCTCCAAGAAAAGTGGCTGACAGTAAGGAAATGGTCAAAAAATCTTACAGACACAAAGCTCTGAAACAGCAGACTCACACCATCAACTACCCACTTCAAGAGCTGTTGAGGGCTGTACTGATTTTTTCACAAGATGCAGCAATGATGTGTATGAAGACAGCATTGGAATCTTTTAAAAAAATTAAGTATTTATTCAATGTATTTTAAAAAGACAGACAAGCACACAGTTGACTAGGAAGACTTCTCTCAAAAGTGATTTAGCATCATAAATTTTACATTTAAAAACCTGCCAGGCCAGCGCCGTGGCTCACTTGGCTAGTCCTTTACCTGCGGCGCTGGCACACCCGGTTCTAGTCCCGGTTGGGGCACCAAGTTCTGTCCTGGTGGCTCCTCTTCCACTGCAGCTCTCTGCTGTGGCCCAGGAAGGCAGTGGAGGATGGCCCAAGTGCTTGGGCCCTGTACCCACATGGGAGACCAGAAGAAGCTGCTGGCTCCTGGCTTTGGATCAGCACAGTGCGCTGGCCATAGCAGCCATTTGTGGGGTGAACCAACAAAAGGAAGACCTTTCTCTCACTAACTTTGCCTGTCCAAAAATAAAAAAAATGATCGCCTGCTTCAAAGGCAGTTAGTTGACAATGAACTGATCTAAACACAGGGGAATTGATTGATGGCCTTCAATTCACATAAGAACAAGGCTAGGGCTCTGATGATTTCCAAGAAACCCATAAAGTATTAGAGCATGGGAAAGAGGCAAATATGGCAGCAGATTACAACAAATGAGTCAACCACTGACCAGCTGGGACCTGTGTCCACCTGGAGTCACCACCACAAGGAGAGTGCCCACAAGAGCTCCCTGGAGAAAATCTGCTTCACTCTGGTC